GCTGGGTGCATCTCCTTATTTGACCACAAGGTGGCAGCCTGTCATGGCTGCCAAAGCACCCACCACAGTGTCAGTCCCCCCACCCCGGCATGGCCGAGCCCCAACCCCTGAGAGTGACAGTGACTGTTTCATCATGCCCAGTGCTTCCCATGCCACATTCCCAGACCAGTCGAAGTGCTTGCTTATCCTACAAGTTTGTTCAACGGATATGAAGGTTATGATTTAGCCTTACCTACTTAGATAAAGTGTATCAGAGCATGATCCCAGAGGGTAGGTAGTGCGGGAAGCCCAATGATGTATCCATTAGTATTTATTTATCATTTGTATACAAGTACTTAAAAAAATTTAATTGAAGTACAGTCAGTTACAATGTGTCAGTTTCTGGTGTACAGCCCAGTGTCCCAGTCATGCATATACATACATATATTCATTTCCATGTTCTTTTTCATTAAAGGTTATTACAAAATATTGAGCATAGTTCCCCAGGCTATACAGAATGTATACAAGTATTTATCGCTTATACAAACAAGGATTTATTGAGCCCATAATATGTGCTAGGCACTGTACGGAGGTGCTTGGAATACATCAGTGAACTGAATCGGTAAAGATCCTTTTTCCTGTGACACAGTCTAGCAGACAAGGAGCAATAAACACAAGAAATAAGGAAGTTACACAGCACATTAGAAGATTAAAAGTGTCACGAACAAAATAAAAGCAGCGTGGGCTCGTGAGGCCTGGGAGGTCAGGGTGGGGGAAAAGGAGGCAATTTTAAATAGAGTGGAATAGCTAGGCGTCATTGAGTAGGTGACTTTGAGTAACGACTTGAAGACGAGGCAGTGAGCCTAGGGGAAGAGCCCCCTAGGAGGAGGGGGCAGCCAGTGCAAAGGTGGGAGTGTGGCTGTCACGTCTGAGAACAGAAAGTCAGTGTGGCTGGAGGGGAGCGAGGAAAGGAAGGAGAGTTAGGACACATGGGGTCAGAGAGGTAAGGGGGCACTTGTAGGGAGTGTGGGAGCTCTGGAAATGGAGAGAGAGGGGCAGTGTGATCTGATGTATATTTTACAGAGATCACTCTATCTGCCATGGTGAGAATAGATTCTAGCTTTCCTGGGCTCATATTTGCTAATTTTTTAAATTTATTTTTTCTTGAAGTATAGGTGATTTACAATGTATTAGTTTTTGGTGTACAGCATAGTGACACACATACACACACACATACACACAAACACACACACACACACACATATACACACATATTCTTTGGGCACATTTTTCGAATTGCTGCCTCCCACCCTGTAGAATTCAGAGCAGGCTATGTGACTTGCTTGGCCATTGAAATGCGAACAGAAGCAACGTGTTTCACTTCCAGGCAGAAGGGCCAATGGGCAATTTCACCTCTCCTCTGTGTCTGGCAAGACTCCAGATGGTGGCTGCTTACCCCAGCCTGGGTCCCGGCTTTCCCAGCCTGCAGAACTGTGAGAAATAAATGTCTGTTGTTTATAAGCCATGCAGTCTGTGGCATTTTGGTATAGCTGTCCTGTTTTGAACAGACTAAGGCAGATAAGCAGAGTCCTCTCCAGGCCTGCGCGGGATGCGAGTGTAGAGCAAAATCTTTGCTTAAGTGACTGGGCTTTTTGCTGATGTTTTTTGCAGCATAACCCAGCCCATCCTGACTGCTGGAAGCAAGTGGGGATGAGGAAGACCTACTAGGAGGTTACTGTAACCATCCAGATGAGAGATGATGCTGGCCCAGTCCAGGGTATTAGCACTGAGATGCTGGGGATGGTGGATTCTGAATAGGGTAAATTGTACCTTGTTGGGTGCTGGATATTTTTATATTCATGTAAATGTTCTTGAGCTTTGTTTCATGCTGTTGAGTCATTTGGAAATAGTTTGATCCTCTCAGATCTTGCCTTTATGTTTTTCAGGCAATCCCAGAGCTGTCTTTAATCTGAGGTTAGTTTTTCCTCATTACTGAGGCAAGGTTCTCCTCAAAGAGAGAGAGAGAGAGATATTTATTTATCTATTATCTGTAAGAAAATGTTTATTCTTTTGAACCTCACAGGAAGAAAAAAAAAAAAAGAATGCAGCCAAAACCAAGTATTTAACCAAAATAGTTGTCCCAAAAGGCAGCAAAATGGGGGAAACCTCAACACAAATCAGTGACAATTTTCCATGTTTTTGCACAAAGATGAAAAAAATCTATGACAATTCTGAGCAACACTTTCATGGTGACAGTTACACAAGATGATCTCAGATATTTAAATGATGCTCTGTGATCATTTAGAAATGAGCAGAAACCTCATTGTAAGGTTTTCTACTCTTGCTGTTGGGAGGAGGCACTATTCCACCCCTGGCTGAGCTCTGTGCACATTTCCTTCTAATCTTTGAAGGTGGTTCTTTCCCTGGTCTTGGGCGGTTTCCTCGTGTGCATGCGCTCCTAAGCACTGAACTGCATCCTCAGAGGGGACCCTCTGTACATCTCTGGAGTTCTCCCTGCAGCTCCTTCTCCTCTCCAGTATTTT